CCTACTGATGTCATAGGTCTACTGACTTTACTGATGTCATAGGTCTACTGACTTTACTGATGTCATAGGTCTACTGCCTGCTGATGTCATAGGTCCACTGCCTACTGATGTCATAGGTCTATTGCTTACTGATGTCATTGGTCTTAATTTGCATTTACAGGTAACTGTAATATTGAATGTTTTTTCATATTCTGACTAGTCATTGGTTTTGTTTTTTTCCAATATGTATATTAATAGATATACAAGTCATTAGATAAGTAGCTTTTTCTGAATTTTGATTTAAAATTTTTTTACTTATTTGTATTACTGGCAATTGAACCCTTGTCCTGTTTTTTTGTTTGTGTCATTGGCTGTGAATGCTGTGGACAAGCACTCCTTTCTGTGTTACCCCAGCCTGCCCACCCAGAGCCCGGAGTCCCCACCACTGAGACACATGCCCAGCCCAACTCTGATGCCACAGCATGCCTGTAGAGGCCAAAGGACAATGTTTTAGAGTCAGTTCTCTCTCTCTCTCTCTCTCTCTCTCTCTCTCTCTCTCTCTCTCTCTCTCTCTCTCTTTTTCTCTTACTCATCATCAAACTCTCACAATAGTACCTCTACTCCCTGAGACATCTCACCAGCACCCCTAACTCTGTTACTGTTTAATACCCAGGACATGAAGCTGTTTTTTATTTCCCAGTAACATGTTCTGTGCTGTGAAGATGTTCACTGTAAGCGTGTGGCATCATTGATAATGAGCACTGCAGTTCTGATCATGGTAGACAGGCTTTTGATTTTTAGCAACCAATTAAGTGTACAGCCTTTGCCTGAAAGTCACTGCATTGTCTGTTACTCAAAAAGCTGTCAGGATGGTTTCCCTCACTACAGGGACTCTGAGATATTTGGCTACATCTCATAGCACAGTTGGCAGCAGCAGGGACAGTGGCCTTTGTCTGTCTGCCTTGGTACATGAATGTCCCAGACTCTGCAGCTCCCCCTCTGCAAGAGAATGCAAAGTCGAATGCAAACAGGGGGCCATTGTCTGACTTGTTTTGCCATATGGAAAATATGGAAATCGCCGCTACTCATTGTGAACCACCTGTGGAAATAAGTTTGCAGTCCGAATGCTTCATCATAGATGGGGCTTGGAACTGACGTGTCTGTTGTTCACATCACGTCTGCGGCATATGCCGGGTTGGTAGTGCCGAGGAATTCTGGGTTTGTATTTTGGGGTTGTGTGGCCTTGAGAAGCTCTATAGAGACTTCTGGAAGCATTGGCCACTGTTTGCAAGCTGGGAGGAGAAGTCTGTGTCTGCCTGCAGTGAGCACAGATTCACAAAGCTAAGAGGTCTCCAAGGCATGGTGGCTCACAACCATAACCCCAGCATTGTGAGGCTGAGGGTAGAAAGTCTGCAGTTTGAGGCCGCCAAGCTGGGCGGAACAGTGTTCCAGGCTAGCCCGAGCTAAGTAGCAAGACCCCCCTCCCCCACCACTACCAAAAGCAAAACGAAGAGTTCTGGGCTAGAGAAGGCTCAGTTGGTGAAGGGCTTGCTCTGAAAATATGAGGATGGCAGTTGGAGCTTCCGGTACAAAATCCAGGCATGGTGATGCATGCTTGTAATCCAAACGGGGGTGGTGATGAGCTGGGAGGGACGATAGAGGGCACTTGGTTGGGGCGGGGTGGCTGGAGGAAGGGACAGTGGTGGGAGTTTGTGTGTCAAACCGGTGAGATCCGGGTTCGGTGAGAGAACCTGCCTCAAAATCTCGGGTGGAGAGTGAATCAGGGGGACGCCTGTTGTTCTCTGGTCTCTGCATTCACATTCCTGAGAGAGGGGTTGTTTTCCTATTCTTAGCTATGATTCAGAGTATGGGCTACCAAGCCAGGTGGTGGTGGCGCACGCCTTTAATCCCAGCACTCGGGAGGCAGAGGCAGGCGGATCTCTGTGAGTTCGAGGCCAGCCTGGTCTACAAAGCTACACAGAGAACCTCTGTCTTGAAAAAAAAATAAAACAAAACACAACAGAACACAAAAAAAAAAAAAGCAGACCCAAAAAAAAAAAAAAACCAGAGTGTAGGCTACCGACTAACGTATTACCACGTATAGAGTTGAATAGTTGTTTCCCAGATTTCCATTATTTGAGGGATAAACTCTAAAAGACTGTAACTGTCAGGCATGGAGATTATAGGCATCAGAAAGATGATTTTGTTTTATATTGCTTTGGTTTTGGTTGTTTTGTTTGTTGTTTTAGTCTTTTGTTTTGTTTTTGAGACAGAGTTTCTCTGTGTAGCCCTGACTGTCCTGGAACTCACTCTGTAGACCAGGCTGGTCTAGAACTCAGAGATTCACCTGCCTCTGCCTCCCGAGTGCTGGCATTAAATGTGTGCGCCACCGCCGCCCAACTCAACACTTGACCTTTTTAAATGAGACTCTAAAAGCCAGAAGGGCCTGGACAGATGTTCTACAAACTCTTAAGTTCTGGGATTAAAGTCATGTACTTTCATATTGCTTTTGAGTTGGGGGGGGGTCTCCCTTTGTAGCCTAGGCTGGCCTAGAACTTGTCGTCCATCTGCCTGTGTTTCTGTATGTGTGTGTTTCGACTGTGCATGTGTCCGTGCACCACGCTTGCGCCTGGTGCACACAGAGGCAGAAGAGAGCATCAGATTTCCCGGACCTGAGTTACGAGTGGCTGTGAGCAGTCACGTGGGTGCTGGGACCAAACCGGGTTCTCTGTGAGAGCTGCGTCCCTACAGCCTCATAGAAAGACATTCTCGATTTCAGAGCAGTGTCCCAAAGTCTAAACTTCATGGTTGAGGAGTCATTGCCTCTGCCCTGTGGGGATCAGTGTTCTCACAGTCCAACTCCACCTAGAACCCCCACTTCTAGGGTTCCGTCAGAGGCACAAAGGGAAATTCCCACAGTAGTAGGAGTTTGCATTAAATGGTCCCCGTAGCAGCTTTGTTTGGTTTTGTGTTTTCAGTGCATGAGATGGAATCCTAGCATCATACGCGCTTGTCAATGGCAGACAAGTGTTCTACCACTGAGCTACACCCGGTCCTGATTTTCTATTTTCTTTTTAAATTGTGTGTGTGTGTGTGTGTGTGGGTATATATACTTATGTGCACACAAGTGTTGTGGTACTCGTGTGGAGGTCAGAAGGCAGCTATTTGGAGTCAAGTACTTTCAGACAGGCTTTGTGTGTTTACACGTATGAGTATGTGTGTGTTCATGTGTGTGCATGTATGCATGAGTATGTGTGCAAGAGTGTGCATATGTATGTGTATGATGTGTGTGCATGCATGCATTAGTATGTATGCATGAGTGTGTGTATGGGTGTGTGTGTGTGTGTGAGAGAGAGAGAGAGAGAGACCTGTCCTCCTCCACCTCTTCTCTACTTTACTGTTTGAGACAAGTCTCTCACTGACCCAGGACTCCCAGTTTGGCCAGACAAGCTGCCCAGCAAGCCCAGCGATTCTCCTGTGCTGCCCCCAGCACAAGGATTACAGTGTGTACCATCTTCTCGTATGGGTGCTGGGGTCTGAGCTCGGGCTCTCATGCCTGAGAGGCAAGTATTTTGCTGAAGGAGCGGCCTCTGCAGCCTTGAGTGGGCTGTCGTGCTTATTTGCCTCCTTTTCTTCTATTCGTTTAACTTTCAAACTGTTCGTTTCTTTAAATGTGTACTGGTTTCTAGATTAGAAAAGTATCCTGTGTGTATGAGTGTCTCGCTTACAGGTATGTACATGCACCACGTGTGTGCATTGTGCCTGAGGACTTCAGAAAAGGACACTGGGTCTCTTGGAACTGAAGTTACAGTTGTGAGTTATTGTGTAGGTGCTGGGAACTGAACCTAGGTCCTCTAGGAGGGAGCAGTGGGTGCACTTAACCACCGAGTTCAAGATTCATTCATTCATTCATTCCTATGTGTGCCTAAATGAGTGTATGTTCATGTGGGAACACTTGGAGGCCAGAAGAGCGTGTTGGATCCCTCAGAGCTGGTGTTGAAGGGGTTTGTGGGATGTCCAGCTTCTTACGTGGGCGCTGGGATCCAAATTCCAGTTCTGATGCTTGCACGGCAAGTGTGCTTAACCGCAAATCCATCTCTCCTCTGCCCTCAGCACTAGCCTAAAGTAGAATGTATTTCTCCCCGGTATGAAGTTGGGGAATCTCCTCCTCATTTCATGCGTGAAGAGTCTAAGGGACGAGCAAAGTTGGAAAAGAGGGACAGAGATGAGGAAGAAAGAAATGAGGTCATATTCGCATGTAGCTCTTTCAGGGCACATCATATAATCATATAAAGAAGACGTAGACACATTCAAGCACAAAAAGAAATCGCATAAACTAGGTGAAGCACCCCTGCAGCCCACTGGGCTTGAACGCTCTCCACACCCAGAGAAGCGAGGGCAGGCATGGTGTATGCATGTCTGTCATCCAGTCCTCTGGAGGTGGCCAGGGGATCAGGCATTCAAGGCTAGTTTAACCCTAACCCAGGAACAACGGCATTTTTAGCATTAGTTACAGTTGGCAGATGCCATCCTGCTAAACCAAGGCCACGATTTTCTGACTATGTATGCTTTAACTTTCTAGAAACTTACATCTATATGCATGCATGTACACAGAGGGGACAACTTGTAGGGGTCGGTTCTCTCCTTCTGCTGTGTGGGATACGGGGCAGCAAGTCGTCAGCCTTAACAGCAAGTGCCCTTGCCGTTGGTCCGGCTCGGCGGCTCCCGGAACATTTAACAGACATTATGATGGCCTCTGCGAGTCTCTACAAACTCCTTTGTCCAGTGTTAAGTCATCCGGCTCCCTGCTCACAGTCTGGATTTTACTTCTAGGTCAAACAGTGAGGTAAACACAAGGACAGGGTTATAGTTGCAAGTGAGCTCCCTTAAAGAACAGTGGTGGAAACCGGCTGCTTTCGGCCACTTTAGGCTATGGGCACGTTCTCAGGCCTGGGACATCTTGTGCTTCTGATTGTACTATATCCTGTCTTTCAATGCGCTCCACCGTTGTCTCACAACAGGGTTCCTTAGACGAGGAGTCGCCTCACTCTGGTCCCCTGTCCTGCACAGAGGGCCGTCAACTTCTGTGGAGGAAATTGGTAAGCATGAGATTTTTTTGTATTTAACTACTTAGGTAACAACTGTGACTCGACTATCATATCAAAATAAAATTGGCATTCAAACCAGACATGGGGGTTTCAGGAGGCAGAAGCCAGCTAATCTCTGTGAGTTCGAGGACAACCTTATTTCTATAGTGCGTTCTAAGTCAGCCAGGACTGCACAGCATGACTGTCTCAAAGCAGAAACACCCTAACCTTTACAGAAAGGAAAGAAATAAAGATAGATAGGGCTGGAGAGATGGCTCAGGGGTTGAGAGCTCTGGCTGCTCTTCCCGAGGACCTGGGTTTGAGTCCCAGTACCCACATTGGCAGTGCACAACCAGCTATAACTCCATTTCCAAGGGATTCAGCACCCTCTTCTGGCCTCCTCGGGTACTGCACTCCCATGGCGTGCACACATAGATTCAGGCAAAACACCCGTATATAATAAAATGACTTGAAAAAGATTATTCGGTTTGTATGAAAAAGCTGAGGGATCTAGATATGCTACTCACATACAAAAGATCACCAGACGGACAATGGATCCCTTCCTTCCTTCCTTCTTGGTTATGCCGTCTGGTGTAAGAGGCAGTAATACTGCCTTTGATTACAGAACCTTGAGGAATTATGTAGCTGGGCTTGCCCACCCCTTCCCGAAGCCTTGTTCTGCCTCAGTGGGAACTGGGCTCGCTCTGGCTCTGTGAGTGACAGGGACTGAACGCTGGGGCCTCACACATTGCCAAAGGCTATGCCTCTTTACTTCCTATTCTGAGACAGGGCCACACGGCGTTGCTCAGGCTAGCCCTGCACCCACTTAGTGGCCCAGGAAAATCTGGAGGGTGAGACGTTCCTGCTTCTACCCCCCAGACGTTATGACGCCAAGCCTGCACCTCCAGGCCAGACCCGAACACGCATTCGGATTTGTGCCGCAACTCTGGATAGAAGTCTGAAAGCCTGGGACCTGTCACGTCCTGCCCTACTTTTTCTATGACATTTTATTTATTTTTATTTTATGTGGGCGGGCGCTTAGCCGGCATGAAAGTCTGTGCACTGCATGTGTGTAGTACGCACGGAAGCCAGGAGAGGGCGCTGGATCCCCGGGCACGGGAGTTAAAGATGGTTGTGGGCCACCATGTTGGTGCTGGGAACCCAAACCTGGGTCACCCGTAAGAGTAGCCGGCGCCCTGCTGAACTAGCACCTGTCACCCGTTTCTTTTCTCTTTTTAAAGTTTTTAAAATTAATTTAGAATCTCATGTGATGTATTTTGGCCATATTCCCATCCCCCCAGCCCCCCCTCAGGTCCACCCCCACCACTCTGGCCATCTAACTTCATGTTCGTTCTACCCTGCCCCTGCCACAATGAGTTTTTGCTTTGTTTTGTTTTTGTTTTTTAAGCTGAAGGAATTATCTTGAGAACTGTGGGTGGGGTGGCACTTTCCTTTAGGCGTTAATGATGCCGGTTTTCTGTTCAGAAGCAGTCCTGCCTCAAACCACAGAGAAGGCAAAAAGGAAGCCTTTGCCAGAGACCCCTGACCTGGAAGGAATCTCGCCAGTGTTCGCCTCTGCTGGGTGAGTGTGGACACGCCCCTCCCCACTCCTGCCCGGGAGGGGTTTCTTGAAAGAGACAAAGATTAATAGCAACGACTCCTGTCCAGGGATATTTGTCTACAGATTCAATCAATATTACCCACTCTAAACCAGGTACCATTGCATATAATTAAGAACAGCTCCTTAAACAACAAGACCTGAGCTCAGATAACATTTCCACAGATGGTGGGAGAGATGAAGTAGGCAGGGGAAGCTTTGGCATCATGGTGAGAGAGTTCTGATGGGCGGATGTGAACAGGAGAACCAGGACCCCAGAGAGAAGGAGGAACATGCAAGCTGCACCTTTGTCTGTGGAGCCAACGCTTACAGAGTGGATTTAGAGGAGTTCCTGGGAAATGCAGAGAAAGCCGTGAGGGTAGGGGCCTGGCAGCCAGGCCAAAGGTAAAAGACCTGCTTCCTGAGAACGGCTGGAGCCAGACAGCAGCCACACTGTGTGATGATGGAGACAGACAGCAGCCACACTGTGTGTGATGATGATGATGGAGACAGACAGCAGCCACACTGTCTGTGTGTGACTGTGGACAGAGCCTCGTGTGTTCTGAAAGGACAGAAGACAAATTTAAGAAGGGACATAAAGAAAGTGGTTTGTGGATCATTTAAACAGACCAGGATCGTCTGCTACCCACAGGATATCGAGCTACATTGGTGTTTTAAGCCGGTTTGTTTTATTCACTGAAACCATCAGCAGAACGCCGCCCTCATGGTGGAATCATGGCTGCATCCTGTGTTCCAGCGAGCCTGATAGCTTCATTGGTTCTCTCCACGGTACGATAGGATGGTGCTGGTGCAGTTTACATTTTCCTGTATTGACTTTGTGGGAACGGAGACAGATTATGCCGGAGAATGCTCTACCACAAAACTGCTTCCCTGGCTCTCAGCCCATCTTTTTATTCATTAAAATTGTATTTCATGTATGTGGTTGTTTTTCCTGAAGGTATGTAAATGCACCGCATGTGTACCTGGTGCCCAAGGAGACCCCCCCAGAACTGGACTTACAGAGGGTTGGGAGCCATTGGCTGCTGGGAGCCAACCCTGGGGGCTCTTTAAAAGCAATGCACACTCCTAAGCACCATGTCTCCTGCCTGTAGTCCTCATTCTGAAGATGAAGAAACAGAAACATCAAATGTGATTTGCCTGAGACCATGTGTCTCTTTGTATATAATCAAATTAGGGCTCTGAGTGGAAAAGTTATTTATCTACAGTCTCACAACCTGCATGAGGCAAAGCCAGGATCTGAACCAAGATGTTGTGATTTAGTAGAAAACCTGCATTTTTTTAAGAAAGTTAAACTTGGCATCTTCCTGTGCCCCGAAATACAACAACCAAAAGGAGTGGTTTGCCTTCACAGCCTGTTTCCTGCAACACTTCTGGAGGTCTCTGACCACAGTTTCCCATAGCTTTCCCCTGAGGAGTCTGCAAGATTGTTCTGAAAGGTCAGAGAGTAAATAGTTGAGGCCTTTTGAGCCTCGTGGTTCTAATACAACTTCGCTTAGGAAAACAGGTCTCTGGTTGAACGCTGCCTGCTGCCTGTGGACGGTGTACCTGCTTGTGGCTCTGTGGGCAAAGGTTTTCCTTTACCCGCAGCTCAGTTTATCTTGTTGTTGCTGGTTTTCAGTGGACACTGGCTATTTCTACCCCCATGCGACTAAGCCTCTGGGGGCTCTAGGATAAAGTGGTAATAGAATCAGACTGACTGTCACTTTTTCAGACACGGCACAACCAATCTCTTGGGGGTGAGAAAGAGTTTAATCTTTAACACAATTTGAATGGGAAGTTCACCTCTACCCTCGTTCCTTCCTGCCACAGATGCCTTGTATCTTGATGGCCTCACAGCAATTCCAGGGCTAGAACTGACATCCGTCCCGTGTGTCAGAGCACCAGCCCATGCTCCGTGTGAAAGGCCTCGGGAGCCGGTGGATGGAGCTTTGGATGTGACGAGAGGACCCCAGTAAGTTAGGTCACGGCTGTCTCACCCTCTCCTGCATTTTATCTGATGTTATTACCCCTCGCTGGTTTTTGGTGGGGTTTCTCCAGCTCTCTGAGGAGCCATACTTTAGAATCCAGATATTGTGCCTTGGGATTCCACGAGACTGCTTTGTGGGACACACTACATGTTTACGGCAAAGGAGACTGAGATGAGTCACGGACACTGTTCGTGTCTGTTGCTCTGCACCCAGCTTCAAGGCTCCCTGGTCCTCACCTGCCTTTTAAAGTCAGAGGACTGATCTCTGGAACAAGCCTGCACATCTGGGGGGTTGGCCGGGTCGATGCCCCAGTGAGAGCCCTCTCGGCTGCTCCTCAGTGGGAGAAACGACTTTGAATTGCAAATGTCGTATTTTCATTTTTTTTTTTTGGTTGGCTTCTCTGTCCTTAGCAAACTTCTCTCTGAGGGAGAGAGAGGCTTCCTGCTTGACTTGAAGTTGGCTGGACTGGGGGAGGGGCTTTTCACAGAGAGCCACTCTGTTCTGTACCACCAGGTGCCCAGTCCCCGCGGGAGGCTCCATCGTGGGACCAGACCCAGACCCCCTAGGTTGCACCACGATGAGCGAGGACCTTAGTGCAGATGTGAGTATAGATGGAGATCTGTTTCAGCACCGCCATGATCCGGTCCTCTTCGGAGGCTGTTCCTCCTTCCTCTCCTACTTTATAAGAAATGTTATGGGGCATCCTAGAACTCACGCACGTAAGGTAATATCCAGCTTCGAAGCCAGGAAGTTAAAATTCAGTCATTCAGGGGCTTTCTAATCCCTGCATAATATAAATTTGGGTTATGGGCTGAGCGATGTCATGGAGGACCTGGGTTCAATTCCCAGCACCCATTGGATGGATAGCTCACAACCATCCCTAGCTCTGGTTCCAGGAAACATGACGCACTCTTCTGGTCTCTGTGGGCGCTGCATCATGTGCAGGCGAAACAGCCATACACGTAAACGAATCTAAAATAAAAATAAAACAAGTTTTGGGTTGAGTGACTAAGGGAAGAGTTGGGTGGAGGATGATGAGCTTTGTGTTGTATCTTGGTTTTTGTTATTCAAACTCGCTAATGCACTAACAAATCTCTGGTGGCCATGGGGTTTCCAGGAACTGAGATCAGGGCTGATGATCTGCAAGGTATTGGCTCTTACCAGAGAGTACACATTGCCAGAGGCAGGCACGGATGGTACCCTCTGCTAATGACAGTATCACTAAGGGCCCTTAGGTAATCACTCGAGGTCAATGTATGTACTCAGTGTGCCTTCCTTGGCGTTCAGAATCTGCCCATCCATCATTCTTAAAACTCTCACAGCGAACAATTAGCTAGCTTTTTCAGATGTAGTCGCAGAATTGAGAAATGCCACTCCATGGGGACACTTTGATCACTCCTCCCCACCCGCACCCCATATACCCATTTAGTCCTCCGTCCCCACATTCCATCCCTAGGCAGACAGCAGCCCTCCTCTCTGGAGGCCTGCCTCTCACACAGGTCTCTTATAAAGGGAACCAAACACCACTTGGCCTCTTGGGCCTGGCTGCTTCTAATGAGCATTAGATTCAAAAGTTTGGACCTCACTCTGGCTTTTGGATGTTACCTTTCTTTGTCCCTGGCTCACGGACATCTCCTGTCCTGATGGGAACAATGCTTCTGTGGATATTGGTGCGCAGGTTTCTGTGTAGCTGTCTTTGAAAGCCTTTGTGTGTAGGCCCACGAGTGGTACCCTGGTGTTTAACGTCTTGATGACGTACGGAACACATCCCACGGGCTACACTGCCTTGCCTTGCCGCCATCCACGTCTGGTTTCTCCACATTCCCACCAGCCCAGAGAATGCAAAGTGAGACCCCAGCAGGCTTTGATTTGCATTTCCCCAATGAATAATGATGTCCGTCGTCTTTGCATGTGCCTGCTGGCCATGATCTAGTCTCCACGTAAATGTGTCTCCTGAGGTCAGAGGTCTGCTTTCAAAACTGTCCTTCCTTTCCCTGCTCACTTCTTCCTGGTAAGAGCATTTATCTGCTTTCATAGATTTTACATGACATGGTTTCTGGTATACAGCTACGTATATTTTTATACTTAGTAATTTATACTCGATGTCTGTTCATCGGTGCCCTCCTTCCTGAGAGGCCAAGGGCAAGCGAGGAAAGGGACATGAGTCCCCTTTGCTACTACTTAGCATTCTTCTGAAGTTTTAATACAGGAAGTTGACCTTAGCCACTCACAGGATGTTTGGTTGTTAGCAATTTCCCTTTTATCGGGCACTAATTTCACAACAAAGAAGGAAGCAGCGGCATGAGCTGAGCGTCAGGCGTGCCTGGTGCAGGAGAGCATTTCCACACGCCACATTAAACCCCCTCCACCTGCCAGAGGGCCGTGGTCTCTGCTTTGGCAAAGGAGACACCTGGAGCTGAGGGAGTTACATCGCTTGCTAAAGATGACTCAACTAGTAAGTGGCAAACTCGGGTTCAGGTTCAGCTTCCTGTGGCTTCAGAAGAACCTGGGCATTCAGCGTCCCTCTTCAGCCCACTGAGTGTAGGTGCTTCCTTCATTAGGGTCCCCCGCGGCTCACCGAAGGTGGTCTGAGGGCTAAGAGATTACTGCTTGGTGCATCTGGCAGGATCTGCTTATCCTTTCCATGGGGTCTCGGCTAAGTTGTTTCATCTGTGAGATCTTGATAGCCAATGAGAAATCGGCGTCCCCAGAATCACAGTAGAAACATATCCAGCATGCTGCTGGAAGAATGTCTGGGTCCCCTGCAGAGGGTCACCCTACCTTCTTACAGCCCCGGGAAGCTGTCTTAGCCTGCGAGCTGTACAGTGGCCTAAACTACTGGCTCCCCACACTGTCACCCCAGGTTTCTCTTCTCCACACATGCTCTACAGTCTAAGGCTGCCGTGTCCTCCGCCCCTCCCCGCCTTGTCCCCTGAACACTTCACCTGTGAGCATTCAATGGCAAGCTTGTGGTTCTTAGTGTTCTCACGAATGATGAGTACAGGGATTAGAGTAAGTACAAGATAAGCAGCAGAACCCATAATCCACGACCGTCCAAGTACGCAGTGGCGATGCCCTTCTCATCTCTACAACCTCCCGATGAGCTTCTTGCCTCGTACCCAGGCTCTGCGTTGCCTGCCACACCTGCTTCTACCTCTGGTCCCCTCACATCGCCTTGTGGTTGTCTCTGTACCTCAGCCAAACCAGGAGGGTGTACTGTACTGTACTGTCACCATAAATCTCGCAGACCCGTCTGGGGGCGTTCCCCGGGGCACTGTCTCTGCATTTGTCTAAATTCTGTGTGGTTGCCAAGGCTGGCTTCAAAAACCAACTGCTTCTCAAGGCTTTCTGTGATAGCACAAAATGTTGATGCTCACGAGTCTCCACTTCTTGAGGGAGAGATTGCCAGTGACTGGGGGCTTCAAGGTGAGGTTTCCCTGGGCTACCTAGGGTGTATTCCAGAAAAGCCAACTGTGGCCAAAGGGCCTCCCTTTCTGGGCTCTTGCACCCCCTTTTTCTTCTGAGTCCCCAGTGACTCATTTTAAAACGGAAATTAATTAGATTTTTAAACATGTCTTTTTTCCAAGCCGGGCAGTGCGCGTATCACAGTGCCCGAGTAGAGGTCAGAGGGCAACGCGTAGGGGCCGCTTCTCTCCTTCTGCTGTGCGGGTCCCGGAGACCAAACTCGGGCCGTGGGCTAGGCAGTGCGCATCTCGACTACCACTCCCTCTTGCTAGTCCCGACTAGATAGTTTTTAGAAGACTCCTGTAGTTCTCACCGCCTAGAACTCACCACGTAGCCCAGGCTATCCAGAGATTTTGATTGTCCTGCCTCAGCCTGGCGAGGGCTGGGATTCTAAGTCTGCACCCAGCTCACCAGACTCAAGGCCCCGGCTGACTGCACCCTCCCTTTCTTGCCAGCCATATTTTGGTGGCCATTCACCGTATTATTTATTTATTTATTTATTTATTTATTTATTTATTATTTATCTGTCTGTTGGGGGGGTGGAGTAGCTGCGGGCATGCATGTCATGGTACACATGGGAGTAAGCACAGCTTGTAGTCATTCGCCATATTATTTATTTATTTGTTTGTCATCTATTTATTTGTCTGTCTGTTGGGGGTGGGATAGCTGCAGGCACTCACGCCCTGGTCTGCATGGGAGTCATTTCTCTCCATCCACTGTGTGGTCCAGGGACTGCAATAGAGTCGCCAGGCTTGGCAGCAAGCACCTCCACCTGCTGAGCCGCCTTGCTGGCCTCGGTTTCTTATTTTCGTCCTGTGTCAGGCAATAGGCTTGGTGGAGAGCATTAGATGGGGACACGGCAGCAGTTTGTCCTTTTAACCAGAGCGTGAAGCCTCCGCTGTAGATACCAGAGGGATATCGGTATGTGGTCCCTCTTGCCGGGGGGCCCCCAGGCCCTAGCTTTCGGCAGAAAGCATAGTCAGCACTGTCTAGAGTTCCCAGCTCATCTGTGACTTGGGGTCATCAGTCCTATAGAGGGGACCCTTCTTTGACCACTAAGCAGTGTATGCCTGACAACCTGAGACAGCTTGAAGCCTTGCCCTCCCCTGGTGTCACTCTGTCATTGCTGCTGGTGTCACTCTGTCATTGCTGCTGGTGTCCACTCTGTCATTGCTGCAGGTGTCCACTCTGTCATTGCTGCTGGTGTCCACTCTGTCATTGCTGCAGGTGTCCACTCTGTCATTGCTGCAGGTGTCCACTCTGTCATTGCTGCTGGTGTCCACTCTGTCATTGCTGCTGGTGTCCACTCTGTCATTGCTGCAGGTGTCCACTCTGTCATTGCTGCTGGTGTCCACTCTGTCATTGCTGCAGGTGTCCACTCTGTCATTGCTGCTGGTGTCCACTCTGTCATTGCTGCTGGTGTCCACTCTGTCATTGCTGCTGGTGTCACTCTGTCATTGCTGCTGGTGTCCATTCTGTCATTGCTGCTGGTGTCCACTCTGTCATTGCTGCAGGTGTCCACTCTGTCATTGCTGCAGGTGTCCACTCTGTCATTGCTGCAGGTGTCCACTCTGTCATTGCTGCTGGTGTCCACTCTGTCATTGCTGCTGGTGTCACTCTGTCATTGCTGCTGGTGTCCATTCTGTCATTGCTGCAGGTGTCCACTCTGTCATTGCTGCTGGTTTCCACTCTGTCATTGCTGCAGGTGTCCACTCTGTCATTGCTGCAGGTGTCCACTCTGTCATTGCTGCTGGTGTCCACTCTGTCATTGCTGCAGGTGTCCACTCTGTCATTGCTGCTGGTGTCACTCTGTCATTGCTGCAGGTGTCCACTCTGTCATTGCTGCAGGTGTCACTCTGTCATTGCTGCTGGTGTCACTCTGTCATTGCTGCAGGTGTCCACTCTGTCATTGCTGCTGGTGTCCACTCTGTCATTGCTGCAGGTGTCACTCTGTCATTGCTGCTGGTGTCCATTCTGTCATTGCTGCAGGTGTCCACTCTGTCATTGCTGCAGGTGTCCACTCTGTCATTGCTGCAGGTGTCCACTCTGTCATTGCTGCTGGTGTCCACTCTGTCATTGCTGCAGGTGTCCACTCTGTCATTGCTGCTGGTGTCACTCTGTCATTGCTGCAGGTGT